CGCTATTCAGCAAGCCCACAAGGGCTCCTCCTCAACAACAGCACCTGCAGGAGATATGGTGGTGATGAGCTGGACCTGTACCTGCATTTCTCCCAAAATAAGATCAAGTCTTATATTAATTAAAACATTCACTAGGGCTTATTTTAAGGGAATGTCTTACTTATCATGTACAACAATTACATTTATTCATGTACAACAATCTATATTCATTCACTTATTTAAGTATAAAAATCTACATTTATTCAAATACAGTCATGGCATCTTCTTCTGGAACATTGTCATAACTCTCCAGACCCCGAATTCTGGCCTGAATGTCTTGCAGCTCCATTTCCTGTAGAACCATTGGCCCCAGCCTCTCATGTCTAACAGTAGAGGCTCCTTAAATGAGCACCTCTGTCCACGTAGCCTGCATTGATGACACAGCTGTCAGTGATCTTCACCCACATCATCACCTCTTGCAGCCCGGACTTCACAAAGTTTCCATTAAGTCAAATGTTCTTTGAAGACTCAGGAGATAGCTGTGGCAACAAAACTTATGGCAGTTAAGAATGATGGTCCACACAAAAGGTGCGAAATACTGCAGGCACCAAAATACAGAGAACGTCTCTCTGTTTCACGAGGGTGATTAAATACATGTGTTAAGATGTATTACATTATGAAAATTCACGTTAGACACAACCACATCCATTTGTTACCAAGTGCGCACATTGTTCGTACTCCAATTGGTTATTCGGTGATAAGTCTCAAGTTTACCTGTTTACATAGGTGTTCACCTTTCATCCAAAGGCACCCACTTGGGGATTTACAAATACTTCATATAATTTCTATTATTTCTTTTAAGTATTACCATCAATAATATTATTTCTATTTAATTATATTTTAATATTATTATTTTATAATTGTATATGTCCATGGTGTGTTGTGATATATGAACTAAAGGCATCCATCTGGCTGATGAGCTGAACTGGGGCCTATGTTGGAGGTAGGGCTTACATTACAAGCACCCTGAAAAATCACACTAGGGCTTACTTGCAGTTAGGTCTTACTTTTGGAGAAATACGGCATTTGCCAGGAAGTAGTCCAGCTGTTCAGTAGCAGTGGCTGGAATGTTAGCACGTATCTCCACAGAGCCCCTGTTCCACACCCGACTACCCGCAGAAGTATTTTATACATTAGACAGCATAGCAGTGCCACACATTAGCTTGTTCTGCTGTGTGACCAGCTTTTCAAGGAGCATCTGGCTTACATACATTCAAAAAGACAACCCCCACAAGTAACACCTAGCTTGCCCAGCTCCTGGTGTCCTTTAAATCCGGTCTAGAAAAACTGACAAGGTTCCCTTGACTTAGTGAAAGGCTTAAAAACACAGAGGTTTCAGGGACATGGTACTCACTCATTTCATTTTTTTTTCAAAAACACTACAATAGTGTATTATATTTTTGAACATCACTAAGAAAATGGATTTTGTGTTTCCGCTATGAAAAATGTGGAAGTGATGCATGTGCTACTTAACTCAGTTTAGGCATTCCACAGCATATACACATCTTAAAATGCCTTGGAGCACCTAGGAGTGTACAATTTGGCCAATTAAAATTAGCTAATCTTTTTGCAGAAATAATAGTGGTACAAAATGCCTTTGTAGTTACTTAAATTATCACTTGACTTCTCTTAATTTTTTAATGCAGAGACTTCAGGAGTTTTATTTACGAAACTGTTTATTTGATCTTCACGTGATTTTATATGTGTATGTGTGTAAATTTTCTCCTGTGGTACCTATAACACATGATGTGGTACAAAACATGATGCTTTTAAACAATTTGATAAATTTATTACAGTAAAAGACACAATGCCATTAACCCCCCTCAAAATACCCTCACTGCAAACATATGGATCCCATTGCTCTTACCACTCTGGAGCAGTTCTGGAAGTCCTCTTTTGTGTCTGTGGTTGGCTGTCATGTGCCTTGGCTTACCTCCCGTGGTCATTTTGACTTTTGGAAGGGCCAGAACTCTCATGAATAAGGAGAGCCAGATCCCATGAATAAGGTTTTTCCCACGCTGCCTTTCCACTGGGTGGCGCCGGAGCACACTTAGTAAACACACTCCTGAAAGAGGACTTCTAGAACTGCATCAGAAAGTGGGGAGAATAATGAGATATTGTGTTTGAAGCAAGCAGAAGTATTTTGAGGAGGATTAATGGCAATGTCTTTTACTATAATACATTTCCTTAAAAATTTAAACACCCACGATATATTCTGATCATGCATGCTAGATTATATTATGCTATGAATTCTCAAATGTCAAGCATTCTAGCTTGCATCCTCAGAATGAAACTTACTCATTTGTAATAAATTTGTATAGTAAATTAGTCCTTTAACATGTAGCTTCTAAGCTCTTTATTGAGTTTTTCTCATGCATATTTATAAGTAACATTGGCCTGTATATTTTTTGAGCATATGTGCAGCAGAGAGGGATAGAAGCAAGAGAGACTGACTGTTTCTTTTCAGCATGCGGGTTTTGCTGTTTTCTTAAAATGAACTGAATAATTCCATGCATCTTCTAATCACTTCCACAGTATGAGAATCTTGCACTTTTAGAGCTGCAAATTCTTGACACATACAACTCGCTCTGTTTAGAACAGTTTATTTTTAATTCATTTGCTGTATATTCCTTGGTATTGGTTTTCTAACATTTTCTTGAGTCAATTTTAGCCATTTAGCTGTTTCTCTGAAATTGTCCATCATGTGTGTAAATGTGTGGGTAAAATTATCCTGTAACTTCCCTAAAGGACTACTCACTTATTTTTAGGAATAATGTCTCAAGGATCCTCTTTCTCTCTGGAGTTACAGTCTTCACACATTTATGCATAAGGGGCCACCAGCTAGAGAGTAAACACAATGCTGACTGCCTCAAACCACAGTTACTGTGCCCAGTTTCTGAGGGGCATGGAATGTGTGTTTGTAAAATCCGGCAAGTTGGCAATTGTATAAAGATTGAATCCTCTTCCTGCTTTTTTCCTCAAGGGGGAGCTCTTTCGGAAGGTAAAGACAACTCTCAAATAGGATTTACCAAACTGCTACCATCGAGCAAAAGAAGCCACCTCCTCAGTCCTTTATGATATAAAATTGCAATAACTGGCTGCGATTTAAAACTGAATACAAAAAGAAAAGAGAGAAGAAAGAGAGGAGAAGAGAGAGCAGGTAAAGGGGAGGGGGAGAGGTCTTAGTGACTGTCTAGCTGAGCTTGCAGTAAAGATTACAAGTCCTACAAAGTCCACCTAAAAAAGGTAGTGAAACCAAATTTTTTCACATCTTTTCTCTTGTTCAAAATCCGAATAAGCTAAAAGCTCAGGACTATCAACTGTCCATTTGCTTAAGTTACTTTTCAGTATACACTAGTATATTTTTATGTGCTTTTAACATCTGTCTATTTAATTTGGTTTTTTTGTTTTGTTTTTTTGCCTTTTTGAGACAGGGTTTCACTGTGCAGTTCAGGCTGGCCTTGAACTAACTTTGTAGCCCAGGTGGGACTTGAAGTCATAGTAATCCTCCTGCCTCAGCCTCTCTAATGCTGGGACTACAGGCATATGACACCATGCCCAGCCTAATTTGTTTTACTTTGATTGGAACTTTAAACACCTTTCTTTTCTTCATTTCCTCCATCTGTGTCTTCCTCCTTCTCTCTCTCGCCAAACCTACCTTTCTTTCTTTCTTTCTTTCTTTCTTTCTTTCTTTCTTTCTTTCTTTCTTTCTTTCTTTCTTTTTCTCTTTCTTTCTTTCTTTCTCTCTTTCTCTCTTTCTCTTTCTCTCTCTCCCTGTTTTTTGGTGTAAGATTCTAACACTGAGCTAGACCCAAATTTTCTGGTGCAAGGTTTTTGATCTACAGAATTAATCTATAGTACAGATTGGGTCAAATCTAAACACGGCATCATTCAGAAAAACATCCAAATCTCCTTCCATTGCTAGTGCCTCAGACAGTGTGACATATCCTGAAGCAGTTATAATGTAATACAGAACTTCTAAATATGATTTCAACTTAGACTCTGCAGCATTCAACTGGAATTCCTGTGAAATAGATTTCCTTTCTATTGAATCTATGAAATAGACTTCCTTCTTCCTAGAGTTTTGCCTTATTTGATTATATAAAAATTATCAGTTTTTCCTCCTCTGTTTGACCCATTTTTTGTCCCACTTATCAATTTTCATTTTTAAAAATGTTTCCAGTTTAAGTTTGTAAACGGTCAGTAGCATGGCACTAACTTTTCAAAAAGAATAAATTGGCTATTTTTGGACTTTATACTCAATTTTCAATTTGCTTTTGTTTATGGGATATTCATGGTTGTTTTAAGTGTATCAGTTGGGACCATAGACTCCTGGACATTTTGGCCTTCCAGGTGTGGTGGATTGACAATTGGTGGTCAACTTGTAACACCCAGCTGAACCGAATCATCATGGTGCTGGGTGTGGAGGTTCCACCTGAGGACTGTCGCCAGCAATATAAAAAGGAGAACCGGAGAGGAACATGGTGTGCTGATGGTTCTCCTGGAGATGTCACACTGTCTTTCCTAATATGAGCTCAGCTGTTCTCATCAGAGGCACTCAGGACCTCCTTGTCACTGAGGATGGCTACAGATCACTTTGGGGGCGCTCTGGTCCTTACTTGAAGCATCACTTCCTGGCTCCGGTGCAGATTCCTCAGCCTGCTGGCACACATGTTCTAGCATCCACCATGGACCTTTGGGCCTTCCCAGCACAGATCCTTAAAACAGGCTTACATGAGACATTGTCATGGGCTCTAGGCCTCCAGCTAGAGTCATGCAGGACATTGCCATGGGATCCGGGCCTTCACCTGGATTCTTTAGGTCTCTAGGGTATGGCCAGATCTACTGCACTTTTTTGCATGTGACTCTTGGGGTGAATATTAAAAATAATCCTGTAAGTTATGTGTCCTGTATTAATTTCTTTTCCTTGCAAACCCTGACTACAATACCAGGTATGCCCTATGCATTATACTGCGAGTAACACGCCTGTGCTGCAGGCTCAGATATTTTTGAGACACATATTAAAGCTGATTTCTTACATCCTCAGCAGCCCAAAGACCTTAATGGTAAAGTTTTAACATATCCTTCCACGCTATACAGCCTTTTAAAAAATCCCAGTAGAAGTAGAACGGATTAATTTTTAAACTAAGCTATCTTAGGAATAAGACATTTTTAAATTACATTTAAAACTTAAGAGGAAATGTGTTTGCATCACACACTATAATTATCCACTTGAAGATTTACATTTAGTGCCTTTTAAGAATATGTAAACATATTTCTGTGTTTATACAAGAACTCATAGATGAATTAGAGTTCATTTCTCTGCAACTCCTTTCTGGGTTGGTTTGTAAGGTGGGTGTTAGCTGGGGTATGGGGCGCTTCTCACTGTTTCCCTGTCTCTGTGGTAACCCCCGCTTTCCTGGAACCCAGAAAATGTTTTACTTTTCTCTAGTGCACACAAAACAAATGGCCGTTTGAAACAGAGATGGACACATGGCCTTTAATTATTCAAGCTCTTTATTACTAATGCATGCACGTTGGGGCGCCTTTACAAAAGGTGCAGCCACAAACATCACTGCTTTGCGTGCGATTGCTGAGCAGTGAAAATAACAGATCAACACTATATGGAGGACGTATCTAGAAACCTGCTATTTCTCAGCTTCCCCTCTCCCAGAACTTCCAGGCCCTTTATACAGATTGCTTGACTAGAACTCTTCACGGAAACTGGAACAGGTAAGGATCTGGCGGAGTGCATCTCCAGCTGTCCTGGCTGGATGGGAGGCAGACTTCTTCCAAGCTGGGGACCTGAGTTAACGGTAAACTGTGAAGCACTTCTGCACCAAGGACAATGCTGGCTTCACTTCCCTTGCTGCAGCTTTTCAAAATAGATCTTACGTGAATACACTTGGGAACTTCCTAGATTTTGGCAAGGCTCAGGTTACTGTTGCTGCTATCATGTTTTTATAGAAATAATGTGATAAGGTTTTGCTTTTGTTTCTCTCTACCTAATAATATTTATCTGTACAGACGATGTGTATTTCAATTCATTCATTAAAAGTGGGAAATGTTATTTAAATTTAATTACCTATGTAACTATTAGAAACAGTTTTCAACTGCCCATATTCACAAATAGGATATCTTTTTCTTGGAATTTCTTAAGACTTTCTTACAACATAACTCATTTTTGTTGAAAAAACATAGTTTGAACAATAGTTGCAACACTAAACTCTTTCTAAAATGAAACACTGACTGAATTTTGCATAGTCATACACATATATGTATATATATGCATATATATTTGATAAATGGATGGTATTTGTTAGAAACTTTATATCTAGAATTATTTAGCATAGTACTATTAGAAATTTCAGTGATTGAGAGCTTCAAATTTGGTCTGTAAATTTACATTTTCTTGAAATGAAAATAGAATCTACTTTAAAGATAGCGCCTCAAAATTCTAAGTATTGATGATACTAGTTTTGGGAGCTGTTCTTAGTTTTCTGAAGAATCCTCCTTTTTAACCTCTCCAGAGATTTCATGACCTCCCACGTACCTTGGGGTCACTGTCTCACAGGGAAAATGATTTGCTCCTCATTTGGTTCCTCCCACTTACCCCTCATGGAAAAACTTTCTGCATAAAATATTGGTTTATCTTTAGCTACAACGACCCTCCTGCCATCCGTCATCTCAAACAACTCAGGAAATGGACTCCAGTAAACAAGGTGAGTAATAGTGTGACATTTCTGAACATAGTTTATAAACAAAACTCTAGGCACAGATAAAGGCAGTAAGCAAATTTCTGTCCAAAAAAAGAATCTAGTAGGTGAGTAAAGTGTGTTTCTCTTCTAAACAGAAATCTATAATGTGCTGAAGAGTGTTTCATCCACTCTCTCAAGAGCACCAAAAGTAATTTAACAAAAACTTGACATCAATATTCAAATACACAAAATGTGTCTTATTTTTTGTTATCTTCACAGTTTGGTATTAAGATAAACATGACTTCAGATATTTTAACATCAGGGATAAGTTCATAGTGCAAAGTAGGCCTGAAACGGGGATAAAGGTCCCACAGATGTCACTATATAAATATTTGATAAATGGCTGGGGTAAAACTAATTCTTTCTTGTAACATCTCCAGATGCCAAATTACACCCAGGGCTGGTCCATAGCATTTTGTTAGTGGATATATTTGCAACCAGTTTCACATAGTTAATCTAGATTGTTAACTTTAGTTGTTTTGTTTTGTGTAAAATTTTGTATGATCTCATTATTTACTGAAAACAACATTACAAATGATTCAAATTATCATTAAGAGTGTCCCAAGTTGGAGCTCTGCTCTCAATAAGCTTAATGCAAAGCATGGATAATCAAAGCAGTTTCTCAAATTTAGTCTGCATCCAGATCACCTGGAGCATTTGGTAATATGTTGGGCTCCACTGTGAAGTCCTTGTTTCTATAGGCTTGGGACAAAGACTAGGTGTAAGATCGGAATCAGACCTGACTGTTCTGGCCCCCAACCTGCCGGCCAGCAGAAGCACTACTCTCTGCAGGGAACTCAGCTCAGTACTGAAGTTGTCATCTACAAGTACAGGATGTGAAGGAGATGAGGTAGGACAAGGAATTTTGCAGGTCCTGGGACATCTGGGAACATCTGGAGACACCCAAGAATTTACAACAGACACTTTTAATACTCTGCCCACTGAGGTGCAAAACTGCTAGAGAAGTTTGACCACAGATGTTTATTGAGATCCTCCCACCTAATGTCCCGTGCCTTCTCTCTATCCATATAAAAGGAGCATACTTCTCTTTGTTTCTGGCAGACGGTCTTATTGCTGTCTGCCTGCCTGCACCCAGGCACAATAAATTCTACGCATGTTGTCTTTACATGAGCCTGGTGCTCTCTGCTGATTCCCTCGCTTTCCCCTGTATGTTACATATGTTATATTAGCAACGCTCATTGCTGGTAAATTCCAGGGCAATGCCAATGCTGCTTGCCTGGGGCCATGCTTTGAGGACCACAGGCCTAAAGTATGTATTTGTAGATCATCAAATTAGGTGTTGGACAGTTGAAAGAAATCTTATCCTACTCATCACAGTATCTGAGGAAGATGAATGTAATGTAGCAAAGCAAAACTAAAGATTGCTGAAAGCAAATGATGTTTCACAAATTGCTCCCATGAACATGAGTGCATATGGCTTATATTAATGTCTTTAAGCAAAAAAATGGCGTTTATTCACAGCTTGCAGTTTGAAATATCCAGCAATTGCTTCTTTTCTTAAGTTTTCTCCCATCATCAAGGGGAAAAAAAGGATAAATGAAGCTTTGAGGGTGCAGGGCCAGAGGCACATCACCTGGGATGCTCATTCGTTTGCCCTGTTACTCTCTAAAACAGCTTGCCATGTCATGCCGCATAGCTTCATCAGATGACTCTGCAAAGCAGCACTTGACAGGAGCGATGGGCCAGATGGTCGGGCTGTCACAGAGCTACTCCTCCACCCGCAGAGCCCCTGGTTTGGCAACTCTCTGTGTCCACTTATCCGATTCTCTGTATCCTGCATCTGAGAGGAAGCAGGGCACAAAACTGGCCAGTTTCCAGAGGAACAAAAATGTTAGATATCACACTTCTGCAAATTATTTCCACATAATTATGCCTACTCTTAGTTAGTTTTCTTTCTCCTCACAGAGCCAAGCTCCTTTCTGTTCTCTTCTGTTCTCTAATGTTGAACTCCTCTCTGAAAATTAAACAGTTCTAAACTTTAAGGAAACACTGAATAACAAAAAAATTAGAGCAAATTGTGAGTTCTTTCATATCTTTAAATTTATTGAAAAAGAAAAGAGCAGCTATGACGGTTCCTGAACCAGATCTCTTGTTTAGGTGACAATTTTGGGACACAGCCCACATTCATCTTTTGTAGGTGTCTTTGAGTCATGATCATATATTGATCAGAGGCTGCTTGGTATCCATAAGGAATTGGTCTCAGGACTCCTTCAGAGAGGCCACTCTGCAGATACTTAGGTCCCTTATACAAAATGTAAAAATAGTACTTGTATATAACCTATGTATATCCTCCTGGATACTGAAAGTCATCTCTACATTACTAGTAATATCTAATGAAATGTAAATATTATGTGAATAGTTGTCGTACTGTATTGTTTAGGAAATGACATGAAAAATTCTGTCTACATTCAGAACAGATGCAATTTTTTTCTAGTATTTTTGATCTTCAGTTGTTGAATTCACCAGGACAGAAATCCCTGTGGTTTTGTGAAGTGTCTAGTGCTCCATGGCCATATGTGTGGGAGTAGGACTTTATGCCACAGCACAAGAGCAAAAAATATCATCTTCCAAGCTAGAATGGAGCCACTGCTTCACTGTGAAATGTAGACTGAGTCAAGTTTGAGAAGGAGCCACTCCTTGAGGATAGACAGAAATCTTGGAGGCTTTTATCCTTAATGTCTGATCAGAGTGCCTGATCTGGTGTACTACTGTGGTTACCACATATGCCTTTGCCTTTGATTTTAGAGTCCACACAAAACTCCTTGCCGCCCTTCATCCCTAATCTCCCTGGCTGTATCATGCAGCCCTAAAAATATCCCTTGGGCCTCAACCCCAACCTCCTGTCCAGGCATTATCCTCTCTCCCGCTCCAGGAAAAATCCAGATCAGTCTTTGGTGGGCCTCTCTGTCCTTTCATGCGAAGCCCTGAGTACATAGCTCAAGCATAGCTGCTTAAATTCAAAGAAGCCATTAGATTTCCCCACTAAGTAAAAAAGAGCTTAGACATTGGAACATACACAGTAATGAGCACAGAAAAATTCTCTTTTCATTCATTAAATTCTCCCACTGCTGCAATTACAATAAAAGATTATCTACTCATATATGTCTGAATCAATGAAACCCACTGAAAAAATCCCTTGTTTCATTTTTGGGGTCCACTTAGCAAAGGCTATGGGACTGGCTGTGTTTCCAATAGCAAAATCTCCCCCAGTACACACCGTTTACTTCCAACTGCCTGAAGTGTGTGGAGGTCAGCTGGGGTCACGGAAGCAGTTGTATCTCCCCCAGGGCTTCTTGCCCTCGCCGAACAGAAGGGAACAGATCAGTCTTGGGCTGAGCTTGCTATCTGTGGGGCTCTTGCCTCAGAGTGAGCATCAGGGGTGTGAACTCTGGGAACTGGAATTTATCACTGGAGATGTTGCAGATAGAGTTGCCTGGCAGTTCTCCCCAAAGTTTGCAATTGGTTTCCTCTCTCTGTCTCCACTCTAACTCGTCCAAACCTTCACTATTTCTGAAGTTTTACATCACAACACTACGCTGATCACTCAGTGGGTAAGCATGTCCCCACTTCCTAAAGAAAACAGCAGCTTTTTTTATTTCATGGAAAAAAGGTAAAATTTCATAACAAAATACTAGGGGAATAATAATAGTTAATACATTACATGTTCTTATCTTTAAAGTAGTTGCTCAGGGTACAAGGTACAGGAATAAAAACTTCTCCAACCCATATTAGCACAAACCTTCTTTTTAAATGAAGAGACACTAATAGTATAACTGAGTTATATTTTTTCCATTTTCTCTACTGTCCTTTCCCTTTCACCCATCCTAGCTCTTTTTTCCTTTTGAACAATTTCTTTCTCTTTCACAGTATCTATTTTATATTTTAAAACATTTACTCTTTCAGTTTCTCACACCGGGGAGACAATATGATGTTACACATGCGGGTCTCATTTATTTCACTTATGAGTGTGGTCTCTAATTGCATCCATTTACCTATAAAAGCCTTGAGTTTATCTTTTTTATAGCTGAATAATACTCTATTATTTTAAAATGCCATATCTTTTTTATCGATTCCTTGGTTGATGGGCATTTGGGCTGTTTCCAAGATCTAGCTGTTACAAATTGTGCTGCTATAAACATGGGTGCACATATATAGCTGTATTATGATGTTTTCATTTTTTTCTCGAAAAATACCCAAGAGAGGAATGGATGGGTCGAATGAGACCTCTAATCCTAGTTTTTTGAGGAATCTTCACACTTATTTCCACAGTAGTTATACCAGTTATACTCTCACCAACAGTGGAGAAGGGTTCCTTTTTTCCCACAGCCCATCCAGCATTTGTTATTGGTTGATTTCTTGACAATAACCATTTCTTTCTAGGGTGAGATGGAATCTCAGAGTTGTTTTAATTTGCATCTCTCACATGATCAGTGATGTTGAACATGTTTTCATATATTTATTTGCCAGTTGTATTTATCTTTTTATTCTCCTCAGGGAATGAGGGATGGGCTAGTTGTCAAAACTAGTTCCATCAGCTGTGCATCTTTCCTCATCCAATGTCTCTCCCTTCGGGATTATATTTGTTAGCAATATTTTAGTTGCTTGAGATAGAAAATTAAAGAGGCATTAACATCTACAACTAATAACCAAGAAACCTATTTAACCTCATGGTGGATATAGTAAATAATAATACGTTCTACTTTTGAAATTTACTAAGGGAGTAGATTTTAAGTGTTCTCAACAACAAAAGTTATAAGTATGTGAGATCATGTATACGTTAATTAGGTTAATTCAGGCTGTCCACAGTGTGTGACTATTTTAAAACAATATGGTATACATGATAGGCTGGGGGAATAGCTCAGTGATAGTGTTGCATTTTGCATAAAGCGTGGGTTCAATGCTCAGCACCAGCAACTGGTTATACATGATAAATACATATAATTTTTACTTGCTAATTTAAGTAAATAAGGTGGAATAATAAAGGAAGGACTAACTGGTAAGATTAATTAGCTTGTGCTAGGGTCAGACATTGTCACCATGTAATGGTTTCTCCATCTCCAAGTCCCCCTCTGTCCTTTTTGTGTTTGTTCCTTTCTCAAAGCACACTGACCCATCCACAATTCCAAGTTTAAGTTTAGCAGAAAAAAAAAATAGTCTGCTTGTCAGACAACTTGAAGAAAGAGTCCTTGAGCCACATTCCCTTGGTACGTTATGTTCACAGGATGAAGCACTCACTGCTGGGCTAGACCTGGGCTACATGCTCCCCATGGAGAAGGAAAAGCTGGAATTACATTACCAGGTCTATGAAGTCAGATTAGGGGAAAGTTATTCTAAAGAAAGATAAATGTATGCCAGACAGAAAATGGGAAATGTATCTTCTGAAAGGAACTTTGCTATATCAAATACCACTTAGATCCCCCCCTTCCTGTATTCACAAATTCCTCTCTCATGGCTTCTTGTCCCTGACTCATACATACATTCTAGAATCTCTCTTGCCTTTAAAAATCAATTTTTATTTTGTGTGTTATAGTGATTGCATGCTCATCTTCCCATCAGATTAAAAGTCTTGAAAAAACTATCCATTTTTTAGGTTTTCTTTTCAATTTTGTTATGGTTTATATTTAAAATACCATCCAAAAGTCTCATGTATTTAGAGGTTGGGCTTTTGGAAGGGGCTTGGATCAGAGCCACTATACTCATGAGTGGATTAGTCCACTGATGAGGTCATGTGCTGATAGGAAGGGGAACCTGGTCATAGGAAGTGAGTTACTAAGGGCATAACCTGCTAGGGAGTATTCTTGTTCTTGACTTCTCATTTCTCTGATTCCTGGACACCATGGGTTGAGCAAATTTTCATGCCCTTCCACCATCCCATTTCTGCTTGGAGCCAGCCAGTTAAGGACTGAACACTCTGAAACCCCCAAGTCCAAATAAACCTCTCTTCTTTTAAATTGTGAATGTTATATATTTTGTCCCAGAAATAGAAAAGAAACTAATACAGTCTTACATTTGTTGATTAATCTTTTGTAATGTGTCAGTGTCTCCACTGAATCTGCTCTTGCAAAGACTTTCAGTAATCAAGTTAATCATTAAAAACAGAGGCTACTTTTTAGCCCAAGAAGATCTTCTTGTGGAGTTCAGGTAATGAAGCATTAGCTTGTCTCTGCTTTCTGAAACTCACCTTCACTGGTCTTCATCTTATTGCTTCCTCTTGTTTTCTTTGTCTTTCCCCTCTCATTGTTCCTGTTAGGTTTTACTTCCTCCTCTGTTACTTAAATGATCATGTACTCAGATTGCTGTTGCTTAGCCTAATTTTCTCTTCACTAAATACACTCTACTAAGCCAATCTAATGGATGGACATGGTGTTGCCCACATTTAACACCAATGACTGTTAAATCTCCAGCTCAGCCCAACCAGCAACCCTGACTGCAGACACATAATAAAAAGTCTAGGGTCAGTTCAGCACCCAGAACAGTTCCCCTCCCAAAGGCCTTCATTAATACGTACTGTCAGTCCATAGCCTCTAGACATATGTGGTTATTGAGCACTTGGAATACAGCAAGACTGAATTCAGATGTATTGCAAGTGTAAAAGAGATATCAGATTTGAAGAACTTAATATAAAATACTTATTAATAACTTTTACATTGATTACATGTTAAATGATATTTTTGACACCCCTATTATGTGTATGGGGTAAGACAAACAAGAATACACTGTATCACCACTATG